ATGTACAGGTGATTTGTGATGCAGTGTAGAACTAGAAAAGCACTCAGAGAGCGCAGACCTCCGCCAAGGACTACAGTCCCCCTCAAATTAATTGTGTTTTCCATAAATATTTGTCTCGTATCTTTCAATTTGGAATATGAAAGAGGATCCCATTGTCCATCCCTGAGTCAAATTTAATGGGGTTTGGTCAATAATTAACCCAGATATTGAGAAACAAAATTTTTGGCCCCATTTACCACAATGTTAACTGAAATTTCAAAGTGATCCAGAATCCAGGATTTCTTCCGGATCACCCCCAAAATGAAATCAGTTCTTCCTTTTCACATTTCCAACAAATCCTGAAAATTTCATCAAAATCGGTCCATAATTTTTTGAGTTATGTTGCTAACAGACAAACAAACAAACAAACAAACAAACAAACAGACAGACAAACAACAAACAGGCAAAAACATAACCTCCTTGGCGGAGGTAATAATGCATGTACTTGCAGATTATCCTGGATCCACCCATGACTCAGTCATTCATGACTCATTCATTCTAGCCAACTCTTCCATTCCCCACACATGCAAACACACATGCAAACACACATGCAAACACACATGCAAACACTGCATTGAGAAACTGCACTACACACAACCACCCCCAACCCCCAATCCTTTTTTTTTCCTTCTTCTTCTTTTTTCCATCTTTTTATTATTATTTATTACTGTTCTTTTTGTTGTTGTTGTTTTTTGTTTGTTTGTTTTCTTTTGTTTTCTTTTTTCTCTTTGTATGCAAGTTAGTCTTATATTTTGTTATGTCGGTTTTGTTATTAATGTGCTGGGTATGCATTCCTTAAAAAAATCATAAAAATCATTAAAAAAAATGAATAAAAAAAAAAATGGGTGGCTGTTGGAGGACAATGGCTATGGTCTGCGGACCTGGCTGATGACCCGTTCATTACACAGAAGAGAAGGAATGAGTGTGCCTATAATCGAAAGCACCCACAAGCGCTTAGTGTGATCAAAAGAAGGTTTGGGCTGCTCAAAATGTACTTCAGATGTTTGGATAAGTCCAGTGGTACATTGCACTGTAGTCCTCAGAGAGTCGCTGCCTTCTTTGTGGCATGCCGTGTATGACACACAACATTGCCATTCATCACTGATGTGCATTGGACATACCTGAGGATATATTAGAGGACTTCAGAAGGCGTGCGCCACGTGTGCCGATACCAACTGACCCGCATCCACAAGCGGCAGCCCGGGTGAGGAGGGATCAGCTGGTGGAGAAGCTGTCTCACTGCTAAAATGGTAGGCTAAACTAAATTTACTGTCAAATGCTTGTATATGTTTTACATTTGACCCATGTGTTTTGATACAACAGATATATGACTGAGTGGTGTAATATTTTTGACTGTGCAATATTGGGAACTGTGTAATGAGTGGAGTGTGCAATATTTTATTGTCTGGCCCCCTGTGACCCCAGCCCCTTGGAACAATGGATGGAAATGATCCTTAGTCTACAATCCGGTGTGTTTACATTCATGTTGTCATGTTTGTCCATTAACATGCTCTGTCCCAATCAAATTAATAAATAAAATAAATCAATAAATATCCTCGTTCTAGACTACAGCACTATAGACAGCTCCTAGAACGACCGCCTCAAGGCTACAGATAGGCTATATTCGTATTTCAAAACATGAACACAATAGAATGATGCAGGCGAAACAAACTCTTATTTGCAAATGCATTATGATGATAAATGCATTACATTTAGGCCCATTTACAAAGTCGGTTTTAAGAATGCGCACTCACACACACTTCGAACCATACATTTTCAGCTACTTTTTGTGCGATGGGCTGTTGGCTTCATCGAACCAGGACCTGCAATGTGCACTGTGGCGGTTTGCAGCCGAGTGTAAAGCAGCTGGGATGAAGATCAGCTCCTCCAAATCCGAGGCCATGGTTCTTGACTGGAAAAAGGTAGCTTGCCCTCTCCGGGTGGATGGGAATGGAATGGTAATTTTCTGCGATGCTTAGCATAGCAGCGTCTCCAGTGCCTCTGTGCACAAATGAAGACTTGCCTCTTTCCAAACCTCTTAAAGGACGATTGTTTTGACTGTTGACCGTGACACCCTCATCAGCAAAATGTCAAAAAAGAGAAAAGTGGACGTGAGTGCAGGATTTTCTAAGAAAAACTGACTTATTCCTATTTACAGACAAGTTCATGTTAAAACATTGTGCTGAAACTGCATTTTTCTTAAAGTTTCAGGTTGTTCATAATATTATAATATTTTGTAAAAGAAAGAGTTCATCAATTAAAAAATATTTCTGTAATAGATTTGTGTTTCTCTGCACAAATATTTGAACTTATTGTTATTTTTGGGGTTTATATGTTTTCTGATCTGGCCCCTTTGGGATCAAAGTAGGTTGGATACAGCCCCCAGACCAAAATTAGTTTGACACCCCTGATCTAGAGTGTTCATCATAGAGGGTCAGTTTTAAAATACAAAGTGCACAGCATGTGTGGGAAGGTGTATGTTCAATATCAAACCCTTTGAAATTACACTTTCTACAGTCTTTCAAAGATGCCCTCCTATTTGAAGAGGAGAATTTTCTAGCAAATTCAAGCCCCCAGAAATCTGTGATAAATCAAATGTGTAAAAGTTCAGATTCTCCAATACATCTGACTAATTTTAATCCTTGAAAATTTGAAGGACCGACCTTAAATAGTTTTTTAGATACAGCATCTGAAAGTGGCTCCTTGAACAACTCTGCTCAAAACAGGTCAGGGGAGAGTTGACAAAATATTTTTTAATGGTAAAACTAAAAGAAGTTGGGAGCAAAAATTTGGGACTTTTCCCAAAATGACCCATTCACAAAGGAAATTTATAGGCTACTACATTGTCATAAATATAACTACAATAATAAACTTTAAATTTTCGTCCCCCTCTCCTCCACAGGCGTGTGCCACGGTGAAAACTGTGGGATCAGAAGGGGCCAGGACAATCTGCCACCGAGCGAAGTGCTTCTCCAGCTGCTCCAGCAACTCTGCTATTCAATTAAGTGGCCCATGTAAAAGCTGCACATTGTCATTTATTTGTTGGAGCTGCCACTCCAGCATAGAAAACCCTCTCTGCTGCTGCTCCAGGAACGGCTCTTCTCCGATGCTAATGGCCCTATATGGCTGCCTCTCACGGGAGCCTTCCTCCATCTCTTCCTCTGCCTTTCCCTCCACTATTTCCTCCACGTCTTCATCCACGGTCTCCAGAGCAGCAGCAATACTAGCTCCTGGTGGTTGTGGCTGTGGAGCTGAACAACAGAGCGTGATTGAGCATAACCTTAAATGTATTGTTTGAATGAAGAATTAGACAGTCGACTGTCAGTTAAGATGTTTGCATTTCTATGATCCATTTAATAAAACTGCAAATCTTTTGTCAGTTGTTTCTTAATTGTGCCTTTTATTGTAATGGACCTGTGCTATAAATCAAACATGCCTTAAGTGTAGGGCTATTTTGAAAAATGTATAGGCTATTTAGGTATATTGGGGACAATTTTAGTTAATTAACAGATTAGTCCAAGCCTGTGAAGAGGTGCACTGATAGGCCCCTTCAGCATTTCATATGGTCTAGATCCACAAATGACTCCAGTTTAATTAGTAAGCCGTTGCAGTAGCTACTGATATATTAGCCTATTTTAGGATTTTTAGGTTATTAAATAAGAGGAAATTTAGGAATTTTAATTAAGACTATAACAATAATCATATCTATTTAATTTTGCAAATTTCCCTTTGGGTGTGATTGTGGGTCAGTAAAGTTCTACCTCGATGTCCTGCTGGACGCCACCAAAGCCCTCCACTTCTGCTTTACTAAAGCTGGAAGAGGCAATGTCCTCTGCGGGTGTGAGCTCTGCTGACATGGAAAGGCCACCTCCTTTTGCTGCGGCTAGACGGCGGTTCGCAGCAGCCTTTTCTTTTCCCCATTTTCTGACATCATTGTACCACTTGAGAAACTGCTCCGCAATCCTACTGATGCCAGAAGATGAGGAGACAGCTGCTGCCACCTCCATCCATGCCTGCTTCACCTGCTTAAGAATAAAATAGGCCTTATTGTCAAAAAGCCTGTATGCTAAAATATAACTAAATATGTGTGGGTAGTGGGCTAAAAGACTACTTTAGCGTGGGCTGGTTAAAATGTACTTACATCATGGGACTTATGAGCTGGTAATGAGGCTATGACTGCAGAATTCACCTGCACCTGTGGTAAATTTAAATGCCACAGCCTTCACAGATTGGTTCAGTCACCACCTTGGTTCTGTCATCACCATATATGTACTTGTACTGTCCCACTCCAGCCTCCAGCTGCGAAATACAGCCCAACCTGGCCCCCTTCTTTGCACTTGCACTAGTGATAAGATAGGGGCATGATCGTGCCCCAGGTGTTCATGTGTTGCTTCAGTGTAGGACATATTGTCTTTCTTACAGAAATCACATCAGACTTTGATGTTTAAGTTACATTTCAGTTACCTGACAATTCCAGAAATCAAATTATAATTAGATTTTAAGTGTGAATTTAAACATAGACAATGAAGGATTTTAAGAGTGAACTGGGTTCAATGTCACTATCACGCCTCTACGTGAAACATGAGAACTTTTTTGAGGTTTAAAACGAGATGTTGAAAGTAATTTATTTTGTATAAAAACAGAAAAATAGCATAATGTAAAACTTGAAATGTAGTGTTCCTTTGTTCAAACCATCAGACTGAAGCGTCTGTGGTGAAGGCCTCATGAACACTTTGTAGAACCTCCTGAAGTATCTGACCTGAGTCAGAACAGTCCCATGTGTTTTACTGTGACTGAAGTGTGTTTTCTTCTGTGTCTCAGGATCCACCAGAAACATCCTCCATCTGAACCTGGTCCCAGCTGTGAGTCCCTCAGGAGTGACTGGTCTATGGAACGTCCCTTTGTTTTTGCCACAGAGCAGTGAGTTTCCACAAGTGTTGAATAAAACTATAGAACTGAAATGAGAGTTTAATGTGTCTCTTTCACAGAGTGGAGCAGACGGGTCCAGAGGTCTCCAGTGGTCAGCACCATCAGACACAGCTGGACTCCATATTTAAGGTCTGTCATTCACTAAAGTTTGGAAATGTTCAGATGAATGAGAACTTGTTTGACACAGATCTGACACTGACTGTATTTGTCTGTTCAGCTTCTGGAGGAGGACATCTTCACTTTTGTCCGGAAGGAGCTGAAGAAGCTCCACAAGGTTCTGAGTACAGATTACCCAGAATGCTTAGAGCCTGTGGAGGATGAGGATGAAGAGCAGAGGAGCAGCAGTGAGGCTGTTCTGAAGATCACACTGAACTTCCTGAGGAGGATGAAGCAGAAGGAGCTGGCTGAGCGTCTGTGGAGCAGTAGGACCATTTAACACATTTAACAAGATGCTCACAGTCATTTTATCTTCTCTGAGACTCAGGTCTGTATCTGTTTTCTTCATTCAGGGAGTTATTCTGGAGTTTATCAGCGTAAACTGAAGTCTAACCTGCAGCAGAAGTTTGAGTGTGTGTTTGAGGGCATCGCTAAAGCAGGAAACCCCACCCTTCTGAATGAGATCTACACAGAGCTCTACATCACAGAGGGAGGGTCTTCAGAGGTCAACCAGGAACATGAGGTCAGACACATGGAAACAGCCTCCAGGAAACCAGGCCCAGCAGAGACAACCATCACATGTGAAGACATGTTTAAAGGCCCAGCTCACACACATGGACCAATCAGAACAGTGCTGACAAAGGGAGTGGCTGGCATCGGGAAAACAGTGCTCACTCAGAAGTTCACTCTGGACTGGGCTGAAGGCAAAGCCAACCAGGACATACAGCTGCTGTTCCCGTTCACTTTCAGATCACTCAATGTGCTGAAGGAGAGAAGCTTCAGCTTGGTGACACTTGTTCATCACTTCTTTAGTCAAACACAAGCAGAACTCTGCAGCTTTGAAGACCTCCAGGTGCTCTTCATCTTGGACGGTCTGGACGAGTGCAGACTTCCTCTGGACTTCACCAAAACCAAGGCCATGAACGACCCCACAGAGTCTGCCTCAGTGCACGTGCTGCTGGTAAACCTCATCAGGGGGAGCCTGCTTCCCTCCGCTCGCCTCTGGATAACCACACGACCCGCGGCAGCCAATCAGATCCCTGCTGAGTGTGTCTCCATGGTGACAGAGGTCAGAGGGTTCACAGACCCACAGAAGGAGCAGTACTTCAGGAAGAGGTTCAGAGACAAGGCCGACACAATCATCTCCCACATCAAGATGTCCAGAAGCCTCCACAACATGTGCTACATGCCGATCTTCTGCTGGATCGCTGCCACAGTCCTGGAGCATGTATTGAAAAGCAGAGAGAGAGGAGAGCTGCCCAAGACCCTGACTCAGATGTACATCCACTTCCTGGTGGTTCAGGCCAAAGTCAAGAACATCAAGTATGAAGAAAGATCTGAGACAGACCCACACTGGAGTCCAGAGACCAGGAAGATGGTGAAGTCTCTGGGAAAACTGGCCTTTGAGCAGCTGCAGAAAGGAAACCTGATCTTCTACAAGAGTGACCTGAGCGAGTGTGGGCTGGACGCTGCAGCGGCCTCAGTGTACTCCGGAGTGTTCACACAGGTCTTTAGAGAGGAGACAGGCCTGTACCAGGACAAGGTCTACTGCTTCATCCATCTGAGTGTGCAGGAGTTTCTGGCTGCTCTTCATGTCCATCTGACCTTCATCAACACTGGGATCAACCTGCTCTCAGACAAACAAACACCATCATGGACAAAGGTTTTAAGCAATAAGTCAGTGCAGTTTTACCAGACAGCTGTGAACCAGGCCTTACAGAGTCCAAATGGACAACTGGACCTGCTCCTCCGCTTCCTCCTGGGACTTTCACTTTCATCCAATCAGAGTCTGCTACAAGGTCTGCTGACAAAGAGAGAAAGCAGCTTCCAGACCAATCAGAAAACAGCTGAGTACATCAAGAAGAAGCTGAGTGAGAATGTGTCTGCAGAGAGGAGCATCAACCTGCTCCACTGTCTGAATGAACTGAATGAGCGTTCTCTGGTGGAGCAGATCCAACAGTACCTGAGTTCAGGACGTCTGTCTGAAGGTGGACTGTCTCCTGCTCAGTGGTCAGCTCTGGCCTTCATCTTACTGTCATCAGAAGAAGATCTCGAGCAGTTTGATCTAAAGAAATACTCTGCTTCAGAGGAGGCTCTCCTGAGGCTGCTGCCAGTGGTCAAGGCCTCCAACAAAGCTCTGTGAGTAACATTTGTTTAACAGAGGATGATATGAGTCAACTTCAATGTAAACAATGTTTCCTCCTCCAGACTGAGCAGCTGTAACCTGTCAGAGAGAAGCTGTGAAGCTCTGTCCTCAGTCCTCAGCTCCCAGTCCTCTTTTCTAACAGTCCTGGACCTTGGTCATAATGACTTGAAGGACTCAGGGCTGAAGATGTTTTCTGTTGGACTGAAGAGTCCTCACTGTAAACTGGAACAGCTCAGGTCAGAAATATACAGAAAATTATTTCAATGTTCATAGTTTTGCTCTAATATTTTGTTGATTACATTCTCTTTTCCACTGTTGTGTTTATTTCACAACAGTGGATTATAAATTATAAATTATATATTATAAATATTTTGTAGACTTTATATATAGTTTTGTTGCTCACATGTTGTAATACCTGTGTAAGCATAATAATGAATGCCAGAGACAGACCGTCATTTTGGTCACTATTGGCTCTTGAATAATTTAGCTTGTTTATTAGTCACCAGTCCTACACTTGCCCTGTGCTTGATTATCACAATCAGAGCACAATGTACAGCCAAATGCCATATTTGCACAGCATGACACACCACTCACACCCAGCACCAACAACACAAACTGATCCACCGTTCACAACCAGCCACAAGAACCAGCCCCGACACCGTCAACAAAACAAAGTTAAACTTTTTGAGCTGTTACTACTACAACACAGTCACAACACAAAGACATGGGATCAGCTACATCGCACCCACAAGCTCATTTACACACTATTTAATTATTAACACTATCGGCTCTATCTTGCCCCTGACCTTAACATAGTGCAAGAAGTGCGTCATACCTGAGTATCAGGTGGAGCGGAGCAGACTGAGGGCATTGTGTGGCATATTCAGTGAATTGCCAGAATTGTAAAAATATCAAACTAGTCTACTGACAACGTGTAACATGCTCAAGGCTTCTTTTATTAAATATATTTTTTGACCAAATTATTGCCATTGTGCCGCTCTGGTTAGTTTCTAAAATTAGTGGAGAGTAGCTATCATCAGAATCGTAGAAAACTGTGTGGTGGCCGGACTCTGAAAGGGATCGGTGCACACAATCATTGACAGCTCAGGTCTCGTATGTGCAGCATGGTCAGTAGAGCTTTGTATAGTGGCTCAAGAGACGTATAGTCCGCATGAACACTGCTCTGTACAGACTTGCACATCCTGCTCTGTGCTCATGGTGCACATCAGTCACTTGTGCGAGGCCAGTGCAGATCGTGCAGTCCCCTCCTCGTGTGATAATGGTTTAATAATGTCCGTGTGCAAAGCGGTAAAATCAGAAACATTTACATTTCAATAAACGTATTCCATAATCCACGAGACATCCACCTGTGTGGGACCAAATGCTCTGGACACCCGTGACAAGAGAATGTGAGTGGTCAGCTGTAGCAGTGGTGGACACACGTACCTCAGATGAAAGGTGTAGAAGCGAACTGCTGGGTCAGGCGGGAACGGGTGCAACCAGGGAGGAAGCAGCGGTCAGCGAGTCTGCTGTGGGATTTGGAATTCATGAGAAGGTCTGACACTGATACTGGCTTGCTGCATAATCTGAGGGTGCTTTCACATCAACAGTATTTGGTGTGCACCAAATGGTCCATTTGATCCAAAAGTGGTTAGTTCAGTTTGTTTGCGTTGGTGTGAAAGCATCAATCGGACTCGGACCCGAACCAAATCAAGCGGACCGAGACCTCAAAAAAGAGGTGGTCTCGGTTTGCTTGAATCTCTCTGGTGTGAATGCGAACTCTGGTCCAAACCATAGACAGTAAGTGGGGCGGCAGTAGCTCAGTTGGTAGAGCATTCGCCCACTGATCTGAAGGTTGGCGGTTCAATTCCAGCTCTTGACATGAATGTCACAGGTTGAGCGGTTAGATCCACTGACCCATAGGTTAGCTGGTGTGATTCAAGCTCCCACAGATGAATGCTGTCGTTGTGTCCTTGGGCAAGACACTTAACCCACCTTGCCCACAGTGTCTGTGTGTGAATGGGTGAGTGGTTCCTTGTTGTAAAGTGCTTTGAGTGCCTTGAAGGTGGAAAAGCGCTATAGAAAAATGTGACCATTTACCATAAGTCCAAACAAACTATTCTAGATGCATCATGGGCGGACACGTGTCTCATCTGCCTGAAATAACACGCTGTACGACTCCAGTGCAATGACAGATTGTTGTGCAGACGCAGTTGCAATTCATTTTCGAAATATTTTGCCAACAATGACCAAAACAGAGAATGAAATACACGAAGATCAGAGCAAGAACCAAAATGTGAACATGTGGCTCCAGAGTGAGTCTAAATTGGGGTGTGTACCTCTGTTCAGGACCTGCATGCTCAGAGAGATCCCGGTGTTCCCCGTGTTCACGCAGCAACCATTGTTTGTTATTTTAGGCTATTAACTAACCAGATAATTTTAGGACAATAGGCAATCACCTATTCAAAATGTCCTGCTTTTAGCCTCATGTGAGAAATACAGCTCCGGTTCAGGTCGGGCCCAGATGACGTGGAGCGGGGAGTGAAAAGCGCTTTCCCCGAGAAGAAACAAATGCGTTTAGGATGGACACTAACCAACCAAACTGTCCGGATACTGCACCACCTCGGAACCAGCCGCGGTTCTTCACCACGGAGGACCGGACCTGTAGGTAGTCCACAGCATATTCTCGCTTTCCCCGCATGGAACCAGCGTGCAGATGGCGGAACGTACCCGCTCAGACCTAGTCATTGCGCACTGGTCTTGCTTGCCACCGTTTCGAACCAGCACATGGAGGACAGAGCCTCTGGACCTACCTGACCAACGCGCTTGTAGGACGACAGAAGGCCAAGGACCGGACTCCAGCCCCATCCTGAGGAGCTCCGCGCTACGGTGAGCGCTGTTGGCTGCTGCTGTTACCCGAACTCTGGGCTAATGTGCGGTGAGTTTGTAGAAAGTTCTACATGTTGCTGTTTTATGAGTTCATGGTGATAAGCTGAGATGAGGACGACCCATGGTATTAACAGGGAACATCGATATTGATAACTGGAGGTATCGCTGTTCTACTGGGAAACAGAGGCACGTCAATCGGACCAATTTTGGTTCATTTGATGGTGTGAACGCGGACCACTCTGGAGTGTATTTGCTACATAATAACAATTTTATTGCCTGGTGTGGACCACATCATCGATCTAGCCGTGTGAAAATGCCCTGAGACAAACGAATGGAAGGAACACTGAGAAAACTAAAAAGGCTTACAGGGGTACACGTGTGTGAGAGGGGTGCAGATGTGCGCGGAATGTTCGGAACACAAACCCAGCCACTTCTGTAATGGCCCATCCACAATTCTGTATTCGTGATACCTCTACTGGCATCGCGTGGCTCCGGAGATGTTTTATTGTATCCATATATAACATTTCCCCACACCCAACTTTACTGTCTGGTAATGAGGCAAAGATTGCAGACTTTACCCACACTTTCAGTGATTTTAAATGCTACAGCAGTCACAGATTGATTCAGATGCCGGCCCACTCCAGCCTTCAGCAGTGAAGCACAGCCCGACCTGAACACGTCCGTCTTTAATGCTAGAGCTAGTGCTAAGATCGGGGCAAGATAGGGCACTATAACTCTAACATTATATATACAACATTTATTACTGTAACAGTATGTAACTGTGAGGCTTCATCCTCAGAATGAAAACAAGCCTCTTATCTTCTCCAGAAGACTGAAACAAAATGTAATGCAAAGTAATGGACAGAAGCAACTTTCTTAAAACTTCAGGCTCTCCCACAGAAGTCCATCCAGTCCACTCCAACCCAACACACTCAAAGGGCAAACACCTGAATCAAATCATAATATGATCACATTTAACATGATAAAAATAAGCATATCCATGTACAAAATATGGAACATATTGCCTAAAACAAAATATATTTTTTTTAAATCTAGGTCAAGTTAGGAAGTGCGGTGCACTTTCGTCCCCCTATTGCCCAACTGCCACTTTTTCACACTCATAGTGTATTTTCTATTATTCTGGCTCTTTGTTGATGTTTTGCATAAACAGTTGTTCATGAAGTGAATAACTGACTGCTTAAAGATTAGCAACACAACAGCCATCCTACAGGAAAAATATGTGATGTTTTTGATGTCATAAAACCAAGAGATTAGTTTCTTTTAAGATTGATTGTTGAGATTTGGAGTGAAAGAAAGTATCAGAACAGTTCGTTTGTGTTCTGAAGTCTACTCTAATGAGCTCCTATCTCGTCCTCCAGATTGAGCCACTGTAACCTGTCAGAGAGAAGCTGTGAAGCTCTGTCCTCGGTCCTCAGCTCCCAGTCCTCTAGTTTGAGAGGTCTGGATCTCAGTCTCAATGACTTGAAGGACTCAGGGCTGAAGATGTTGTCTGTTGGGCTGAAGAGTCCTCACTGTAAACTGGAACAGCTCAGGTCAGAGGGGTTCATATTATTCACTATTATTGCATAACTTGTTGGCATTTGCATTGAAAAATTATATTTGATAAAAGTAAAATAAAGATAGGGGATTTGTTATTTGTCTCATTTGGGCTAAATGTTACTATTGAATTGACTGATTACAATAATATGTGTCCTCAGACTGTCAGCTTGTCTGGTCACAGAGGAAGGCTGTGCTTCTCTGGCCTCAGCTCTGAGGTCCAACCCCTCCCTTCTGAAAGAACTGGACCTGAACTACAACCATCCAGGAGACACAGGAGTAAAGCTCCTGTCTGCTCTACAGGAGGACCCCCACTGCACACTGGACACTCTCAGGTATAAGGAATATGTGTATGTGTTTATTATTATTATTATTTTCCTTAAAAAGGTTTAAGTAAGCTTATGGACCCACAGTAGACCATCTGCAGCTGCTTTTCCATTAAGTTGTCACAACACACTACAAGTCACCAGTTGTTTCCTGCCCCTTTATGGTCACTTTGGTTGTTGTACTCCATACATCTGTTGTCACCTTACACTTCTGTATAAAAACTCTCCATTACTGTGATGCCTCTGTGTCATCACATGCAGGCAGCAGAACCAGAGCCCTATTAGACCTTCAGAAAAACATCTGTGGCCTTCAACTCTTTTCTTATACAGCAACCAACATTTTACTGACTGAAAACATAGCTGAAAACGTGCAGCTTGGACAATTCTGAGGACAGTGAAGTGAGGAACTGTTGGACTGTGTGAAAATGAGCTGTTTCTTTTTCTTGTATCCATGGAGAGCTAGCTGTATATGTCTGAGAGACCAAAATATAGCCTTCCAAATGCAACAGAGAAGTATAAGATTTAAGCTTAGAAGAAGCTTTCCTGTTGTGTCTCCAGATTTCACCTGGCTCCCCCTAGAGGCTGCTGTGAGTCTTTTGTCCTTAGGTTGTTACTCTCCTCAAACTACTCTGACACTGGATCTGCTGATCAGACCTCCTGTTAAGTTGCTGTTTGTCCTGGCCTGTCAGCAGTGATATGAACTTTGACCTGTGTCTATCAAATAAAGGGGAGTTCCTAAAACAATAGAAAGCACAAGTGAACATGGAGAATGGAAAAGGCTTGATTAGGAGGTGACATACATTTGGATTTATACAAATCATTGCTTTACTTTGTTTAAAACATCACATTTATTGTACATCTTTCTAGATTCTCATTTTGAGGTGGTGATAATAACATCAGAACAAACCTGTTTCAAAAATGTGATTTTAAAACGCCTCAGTGTTTCAGGCTGATGTCATGTGTTTCAGACTGGAGCCTGCTGGAGCTGAGTGGTTAGCACCAGGACTCAGAAAATGTAAGTGTTGAGGTAACTCTATTTGAAACAGACTCATAGACACAATGCATGATGGGAAACAGAGTTCTCACATAAAATATCTATTGTTGTGTGAGAGACCTCAGACTGCGTGGTCAATAGCTGTGTCCATAATCCAGAGTTGTTCTTAAATTAGATCCTGAAGAGTTCAGTCTGGAGCTGTGTAACTGCACTCATGTTTCAGCTCAAACATGTTCAACAATGATGTTCATTGTTCTTCTGGAGACAGTGGATTTAAACCAATCTCCTGTTCTCCTTTGAGCTGTGCCTCTGCTGTCACTCCTCCTCATCACTAGAACAACAGCAGATATCACACAAACACTGGCAAAAGGACAGCAGCTGTGAACAAGCTCCTGCAACACAGAGCCACATGTCTAAGCCCCTGTGTGCAACAAGAACAGAACTACTGCTGCTGGAGCAAAGGAGGAGCACCAAGGTATCAGAGTGAAATCTTTGAACCCATTGTCAGATCTTACACTGGGGCAGTAGGTCCTTGGTTCCTCCTGATGCAAGACTATGCCCACGTCAACTGTCTGCAGGCAGTACCTGGGGGATGAAAGGATTGATACAATTGAATCACCCTCACGATCACCTGACTTAAACACAATAGCACACTTCTGAGTCATTATGTCTAGGTTCATCAGACTCTACAGGAGTTCAGTGATGCCCTTAAAGAGATCTGGGAGAACATCCCTCAAGACTCCATCCGCTGTCTCATTAGGAGTGAGCCACGCCGTTGTCAAACATGCATACAAACATGTAGAGGCCACACAAGATACTGAGAAAGCATTTTGATTTGCAGAAATTTAAATTTTAGCAAAATGGACTACCCTGCCACATTTTTATTTCACTTTTATTTTCAAGGTGTCTATAAAACAAAGCCTTCTGTAGGCTGATAATGTTATTTCCATTAAGGTCACATACTTTTGGTCCTAAGGCATTGCCCTGTCCATATTTGTTTCAATATTCATCTTCATTTAATATTACGTTACTAACTTTGCATTAGTGCAACAGCAGAAGCAGCAAAACCAGAGCTTTCAGTTTTTAATCAAAATGTTATGATGTATTACATCCTTCCAAGAGTGGGGTTGTGGTCCTGTGGGGGCACACTTGTGAAACCTCAGGGGTTTCAGCAGAAAAGCTGTTGCTCTGATGTGGAGCATGTCCTGCACCCCCTCGCTCGGACTTCAGCTACCAGATCAGGCTCCAATAATCTTGACTGTTAAACTTGCGCGGATGATGGAGCTGTCCAGAGGGCTTTGGCTTTTAATTTCCCTGTTTCTTGTTGTGTATGTTGTTTACATTCAAGTGCAGTAGCACAGCAGACAGACTGTTGTAACTAAAGTATGCACAACATTAAACTGTGGTATAATGCGCAACAAATGTCGGTGTATGCAAAGAAGGTCTAATTACCTAATGTGCCACGTCTATGGCTATATGTGCATTCTGTACATTTGAAGCAGCAAGATTGGGCTTTTCTTTTAATTTTATAAGATTTCTGAATTTCTTGGGCCCAAAAAAACTAAAACTAAAACTGCATATGCTCTAGTATAATTACCAATATTCTTACTATTAGAGATAATATATTGTGTTCAGAGTGGCAGTAGAGGTGTGTGACTAGTAATCAAAAGTCTCAGGGGCTAGGTGATTACAACATGTTTGGCACCCACTGCTCCAAGAGGAGTATTTTAATGTAAGTAGATGAACAACATTCAACTAGTTATTATAATGACTCTGGGGCAGTCATTTTATCTGGAAACATTTCCAATAAATGCAATGTCCCCTAATATAAAAGTTATTAGGTGGAATTAGGTTCAAAACTCCTAATGATATTACAGTAAATAAGCTTTATAAATGTTTTCCATGATAATAACTGTCTGTAGGTTCTTGTTATTCTGCTGAGTGTCACTAAACGGTCTCTTTGACAAGATGAAAGCTTAAAGGTGCACTGCACAAGTTTTCTGGTGGAGGGTCCATCATGCTTGTTTCTATGGATATGTCATTGGAATGTTCCACAGTATGACAATAAACAGCTTTACCTCACATTTATTAAAATGATTATTATATAATTAATTACAGATGGTTTTATAGCTCAGAAATACCTAGAAAAACAGGAATTTTGACTTTGAGCGGGGTTGCCTCTCCAAAGATCTGACCTGTAACTTGGTCTGGTTTGGGCTCTATGATGATAGAAAGGTTTAATGCCATACTGTGAAACATTCCAGACCAAGTAATAACATTTCTATGGATAAAATCATTTGGACCCTCCATCAGAAAACTTGCACAGTGCACCTTTAAGCTTTCATCTCGTCATTGTGACTGTTTTGTGACACTCTGCAGAATGACAAGAACCTATACACAAAGCACCTTTAATATCTTTCTTTCCGCATTTCTATTAATGGTGTCAAACATACTGACTTGTGGCATTAAAAGGGCAATAAAAAGCATTATTTTTAGGTTGAACCCTGCATAAACCCTGAGGTCTGCAGTTCTGTCCATTAAAATGCAGTTTCTGGTCTTTAATGAACAGAATGATGTTGCCTCCTTCCACAGAGTGGATAAATATGTGTCAGGATGCATGATTGAATATGTGGCACAAGAGGGCAGCAGTGTATTTATTATCTGACTCAACAAATTTCATTTTATTTCATTTCAGATGCTCCAGGGATTTTTACCATCATGTTTAGCATTGTCAATTTTGCCTTTATAATAATCCTTTTCTTTTTTTTTTTTTTTATTAATTTTGGTGTCTTGGTTCTTGAACTTGTGATATTTGAAGATGTCCTCTAATAATCTGGATTTTAGCTTCATCCCTTAGCTTCATCATGTTCTTCAGTGTTGAGTCAGTCCTCTTAGCATTGCTTCTGCTTGTTCTGTGAAGAATCCCTCAGTCGTCCAGGTAGAATCCACGGCGAGGAGAAAATTCAGTTTGTCGACTGGACAAAAGTTAGTTTGGTTGAAGACGTTTCACAGCTCATCCAAGCTGCTTCTTCAGTTCTGGTCAGACGCTGGTGGACACTTCCTTATATCTGCAGGGAGGAGCAAACTACACTGAAACTAACACACACACTTGTTTACAGTTTGTGTTTGTTAGTTCGGTCTATTGACCTGTACAGGGTGTGGGGGTCTAATTAACATAACAATTCTTGGCCATAATGGATCTTCCACACCTCTGGACCTGACCTGACTACACCTGTTGTTCTCTTGTTTGTTTTGATTTAGGTTTGAGGATGGAGTTGTAAATAGGAGATCGATGGTGTCTGAGTCCATTTCTGTTTAGAGAAGGATTCTCTTTCTTAACAAAAATGGCTTCTTTCACTCCCCTCTCAAAACAGTTCTTTTCTCTGTACTACTGTACTGTACTGGTCCAGGTTGAGGTCTTCAGGAAGCCCACACCCACAGACCAGTACCTGCTTTTTGATTCTCACCACCCACTGCAGCACAAACTTGGAGTTATTCGGACACTGCAGCACAGGGCTCAAGTGGTGCCTACAAGCACAGAGGGAGAGGAGAAAGAAGAACAAAATGTGCAGAAAGTTCTCTCTGTTTGTGGAGACAACAAAACCAAGAGAACTAAAAAACAGGACAACAGAGAATCAGAACCCAGGAGAAAGGGGTAACTATTTCGTACATGGCTGGTGTTTCTGAAAAACTACAGAGGATTTTCAGACAACATGAGATCCCGGTCTATTTCAAACCTATGAACACTCTAAGACAGAGACTAGTCCAACCCAAAGAACAAAACACCGAGCCACAAACAAAGCAATGTGCTCTACTCCATTCAGTGTAGTGAAGACTGTAGTGAACGCTGCACTGGAGAAACTAAACAGACACTTCACAAGAGGATGAACCAACACAGACGAGAGAGCAGCAGTGGACCTCAGTCTGCTGTACATCTCCACTTAAAAGCCACGGGCCACTCATTTGAGGACAGTGAGGTACAGATTTTACCTAGAGAAAAGAATTGGTTTGAAGAAGCCATTTTTGTTAAGAAAGAGAATCCTTCTCTAAACCAAAATGGAGGCCTCAGACACCATCTATCTCCTGTTTACAACTCCATCCTCAAACCTAAATTAAAACAAACAAGAGAACAACAGGTGTAGTCAGGTCAGGTCCAGAGGTGTGGAAGATCCATTATGGCCATGAATTGTTATATTAGACCTCACACCCTGTACAGGTCAATAGGCCGAACTAATAAACAAAAACTGTAAACAAATAGGTGTGTTAGTTTCAGAGTAAATATTTAGCTCCTTCCTGCAGACAGATATAAGGAAGTGTCCACCAGCGTCTGACCAGAACTGAAGAAGCAGCTTGGATGATCTGTGAAATGTCTTCAATCAAACTAACTTTTGTCCAGTCGACAAACTAAATTTTCTCCTTGCCTTCTTCCTTGTTCTGTTTTTCACTGGTGCAGATTTGTCCACAAAGTCCAAAAGTGAGCTCATGAAAGCGTCTAAAGAAACCTCGACGTTGTGTCTATTATAGACATCATTCCAATCAGCCTTCTTCACTTCTCTCACAATGTCATCAACAGCACACGCTTTATAAAGCCTTTTATGCTTTAAATGTGCCTTTAATATAGGAATTTTAACTCTGTTTGTGACGACTATGAGATGATGGTCGCTGAATCCAACTGGTAATGATCCAGTTCTCATCCCTCAGCACAGCCTTTTCTCCCCTCTCTCTGGCAGCCCTAAGTTTAAGAAGTAGTGGTGCTGGAGTAAAGGAGGAGCCCTGGAGCCACACTGACACAGACACAGCTGTTGGACTCAGCACAGGACTGTCTACACACAAGCACAAGTGACTGTGGATTCGTATAGAGACATTTTAAAGGACAAAGTCTGTGTCATGGAGCACAGACGAGTGTAGGAATGTGTGGAGTGACGTCAAAGACTGGAGCTGCACAAACTACACACAACTCACATTTACACTGAAAATAATATGAAATAGATGTGTGAGAGGCTCTGAAACTAAAGGAAATATAGGGCTGATGCAAAATCAATATTAGACTAATATAAGCCTGCAAAGATTAAGAAAAAAAAAAAAAAAGTGCTGTCAAAAAAATCTTGTTATTAATGAATTAACATAAAATCATTTTAACTGCGTTTTTTTTTTTTTTTTTTTTTTTTTTTTTATCGCAAAGTAGTTTTTTTCATAAGCTGTGGGCACTGCTGTAACTTTAGGAAAACTACAGGATCCAGCTGTAGGCATTAAGCAAAACTATTTGTATAAAACTGAGAAACCCTGCCAGGTGTCCTGATGTCACTCATATGAGGAAAACACTAAATATAGTAAGAAACAAAAAAGACACAAAAAACACACAAAAAAAAACACAAAACATACAGTAAATCCACACTTTCCTTCAATAAGGACTGTGACAGAGACAAGTTTTAGTGGCTCTCTTCTTAACTATGACGTTCATGAGATTAATTGCTAATAAATATTTTAATCAATTGACAGCACTAATAATAATTAAATACATGAATCAACAATAAGTAAAAGCCTTTCCATCTTTCATGAAAACATTTGTCCATATTAAACTCTAATGAAATGTGTGTCTCCACATGGGACTAACTGCTGCTGTGTTGTGTTTTCTCTCCATCAGATTTCTGTGATCTCACTCTGGATCCAAACACAGCTCACACAAACCTCAAACTGTCTGACAACAACAAGAAGGTGACACATGTGAGAGAGGAGCAGCCGTATCCAGATCATCAGGACAGATTTGAGAACAGGGAACAGATTCTGTGTTCCACTGGTCTGACTGGTCGCTGTTACTGGGAGGTCCAGTGGAGAGGGGTGGTTCGTGGATCAGTGTCTTACAGAGAAATCAGAAGGAAAGGAGACGGTGCTGACAGTGGGTTTGGATACAATGATCAGTCCTGGAGTCTGGAGTGCTCTAAAAATGGTTTCTCTGTTTGGCATAATCACAAACACACACCCCTCCCTCAGCCCTGGTCCTCCTCTTCTGGGAGAGTAGCAGTGTTTGTGGACTGTCCTGCTGGTTCTCTGTCCTTCTACACAGTCTCCTCTGACCAACTGACCCACCTCCACACCTTCAACACCACATTCACTGAGCCTCTGCTCCCTGGGTTTAGGCTCTGGCCTGACTCCTCAGTGTCTCTGTGTTTAGATTAACCGCATCATTTTCCTTTGAGAAAAGTTTTATGCTAACAATTGTATCATATCAAATGTGTTTTGCTTTGGCTTCACTTTGTTTTTGAAATGTCTCTGGATGAATGCAGAATAACCATCATTACCAAAACATGAAGCAGAGTTTATGGACTGTGTGGATAACCTCGGCTCCGCAAAATACGTGTCCAAACTTGATTTGCTAAAAGGATACTGGCAAGTGCCTCTCACGGAGCACGCTTCAGAAATATCTGCATTCGTAACCCCCGATTATTTTCTGCAATATACGGTGATGGCTTTTGGGATGTGCAATGCCCCAGCCACCTTCCAACGCCTTGTTAACACTGTTTTACAGGGATTACCTAATAGTAATGCTTATCTGGACGATCTCATTGTGCACTCCCCCACTTGGGAGGATCATCTTAATACTCTGACTCAGGTTTTCGATCGACTGGCTCTAGCGTCGCTCACATTAAACCTTGCCAAATGCGAGTTTGGGAAAGCCACAGTAGTTTACCATGGTTGGGAAGTAGGCCAAGGCCAAGTGCGCCCCATAGAGGCTAAGATTGCAGCTATAGTTGCGTGCCCACCTCCCTCCACTCGTCGTGCCCTACGCCGCTTCCTGGGCATGGCTGGGTACTACAGAAGTTTCTGTAGGAATTTCTCCTCCGTTGCTCTGCCCCTCACAAACCTCCTCAGCCCCAAAGTTGATTTTGTCTGGTCACCTGAGTGCCAACACGCCTTTGATAGTGTTAAGTCTTTGTTGTGTCATGCCCCTGTGCTTGTTGCTCCAGATTGTTCCCGTGCCTTCAAGCTGGAGGTGGATGCTAGTGGCGAGGGAGCTGGTGCGGTGTTATTACAGGAAGATGATTGGGGTGTGGATCATCCTATTTGTTACTTTTCCCGAAAATTTTCTAAACACCAGTTGGCCTATTCCACCATTGAAAAGGAAACTTTGTCGCTGTTGCTCGCCCTCCAACACTTTGAAGTATATCTTGGGTCCAGCTCTCTGCCTGTCACAGTTTACACCGATCATAACCCCATTGTGTTCTTATCGCGTATGTACAATCATAACCAACGACTAATGCGATGGGCGCTGATGGTGCAGGACTACAACCTCCAAATCTGCCATAAAAAAAGGATCTGACAATGTCATCGCTGATGCCTTGTCCCGGATGTAAAAAAAATTTGTAAGTAACTTTTTTTTTCTCCCCGTTTTAATCTTAAGGGGGAGAGTGTTACGGGCCTTGGCCCTTTGATATTTGTTTAAAGTACTTTTGTCTGCGCATGATGCTCCCGGTCCGCGAGCCCTGGACCCGGATGCTCGGGAGTACCCGACGTGGGACAGAGGCTGACGTCGCAGCGCGTCAGTGATTGGCCCTTCATCCCTGCGCTTCCACCAATCCGCGGATGACACTTGTGATAGCGGGGGATTGAAAAGGGACCATCTTCCACCTGCTCGGGGCGGCTGGATCACTGCGGCCAGCTCGCCACTTTCGTTTGATGTTTGGGTTGTCTCATTTTGTTATATTGCCAGCTATTGCCTCGTTTAGTTCGTTGAGACACCTTTGTTTTTGTTCGCAGTAAACCTTGAGTAGATTTGGTACTTTGTATTTAGTTAGGGCTCTTTAGTTTATTACATTATTTTGTTTAACTCCCATTTATTTTTCACCTTAATTGCCTGTTTTTTGTTTGTCTTCCCTTCCACTCTAAATAATAAATGCACAATTTTTAGTTAAACCTTTAGCATCCTGTTTTTTTTGTTACTTCCCTTTCTCCCCTAGCAAAGGGGACGTAACTGTGTTACACTTAATCACCAAATACTTTTACTTTTACTTGGGTAGTTTATTTGAACATCATTGTTGTACTTGCACTCACAGTACTTTTACTCGAGTACACTTTAGGTGTGTTGGAGCTCCCTCTGTGTTTGTTTTTGTACTGACTGTTTTCTACAATAGTGATCAATAAACAAGTGAATAAACAGGTCCATGGACATGACCATGACTTTATTCCACAGCTCAGTGTCTTTCATTCACACAGCTCCTTATGGGAAATGTGGACACTATATACAATTTCAACACAGTTACCATGGTTACCACATGCCCAGAGTGACGAGTGGTTTCCATCAGAAGCACAGGAGAAGATTTAGAAAGGGGGAAACAGGCACAGAGCCGCTGTGTCCACTAGGGGGCGTGGTAGCTCTGCAGATAAACGTGGGACTCTTCTTCATGCATCATGGTCCAGGCAGGAGGCTGTGTCCAGAGGAGGGCCTGTAGGGGGCGCTCTCCTCACTGCTACTTCTGCAAAACTAATCAGTCAGGACCAAAACAATACAACAATGTGATGAAATGAGAAGCTCCTAACAGTCAGGTGGCCCGAAGTAAATTTGGTAAATTATTATTCACACCACAACATGATGCACAACTCACATCATCTGTACTACATGTATCTGTAATACTCACATCATCTGTACTACATGTATCTGTAATACTCACATCATCTGTACTACATGTATCTGTAATACTCACATCATCTGTACTACATGTATCTGTAATACTCACATCTGTACTACATGTATCTGTAATACTCTCATCTGTACTACATGTATCTGTAATACTCACATCTGTACTACATGTATCTGTAATACTCTCATCTGTACTACATGTATCTGTAATACTCACATCTGTACTACATGTATCTGTAATACTCACATCATCTGTACTACATGTATCTGTAATACTCACATCTGTACTACATGTATCTGTAATACTCACATCTGTACTACATGTATCTGTAATACTCACATCATCTGTACTACAAGTATCTGTAATACTCACATCATCTGTACTACAAGTATCTGTAATACTCACATCATCTGTACTACAAGTATCTGTAATACTCACATCTGTACTACATGTATCTGTAATACTCACATCATCTGTACTACAAGTATCTGTAATACTCACATCTGTACTACATGTATCTGTAATACTCTCATCTGTACTACATGTATCTGTAATACTCACATCATCTGTACTACAAGTATCTGTAATACTCACATCTGTACTACATGTATCTGTAATACTCACATCTGTACTACATGTATCTGTAATACTCACATCATCTGTACTACAAGTATCTGTAATACTCACATCATATGTACTACATGTACCTGTAGTACTCACATCATCTGTACTACATGTATCTGTAATACTCACATCATCTGTACTACATGTATCTGTAATTCACAATATCTGTACTACATGTATTTGCAGTGGGTGAGTTGTTGTACAGTTGTAGGGAGTATTATCTGTCCCTCTATATTCTGGTACAGTGGGTGAGCAGGAGTGGGTTCTCTCCATCATATTTGTTTTCTACTGGCTAATTTTTTCAGTTGTGTCACACTAAATGAGGCCCTCACAGACACAGAGCTCAGCAGCAGCTTCCTGTCACTCACCAGTGTGAAGCCCCGCCCACCTGGACCACAGCCAATAGAAGAAAAAGAACACACGAACAAGCCTCTTCCTCCAGACGCACACTTTTCTCTGAGACGCTTTGGACTCGTTGGATCCACTCAGGTATCACTAGTTTGATTCTGTTCAACACTGGGTTTAGTCCTGGTTTAGTCCTGGTTTAGTCTTGACTTAAGACCTGGTTTAGACTTGGTTTAGTCCTGGGTTGGTACAGATTTAGTTTAGACCTGTGCTCGTCCTGGTTCAGTTCCTGTTTTATTTCCTGTTGTCATTTATGTAGTTGTACTTTTGGTGGTCGTCATAGGCGTCAGTTTATGTTTTTCCAAGTAGGTGCTCAGTGCAAACACATGTACAGGCACTCTTGGGTGCACGTGCATGTGCCCACACACACATTTAACTTTTTTTTATGTGTGCTCCCCTTCCATATACATCGCAGAGACAGAGAGAGGGACACTAAAGGCTCGTTGTAAATGTGCATTCTTAAAAATCTAGTCAATTTAGGATTGGGAAAAAGTCCGGTGGGTGCTTGGAGATTTGCGTGGGGGCTCACAGGATGGGTGTCTGTGGTGTTCATATCATTGGGACATTTGTTGTCAGTTGACACAGTTTTCAGACTCTTTCTCAGAACACTTGACACAGCTCTCACACAAACACACACACTCACTGAATTCACCTTGTTTTTTCACACTAGAGGCTTGTTCACACATGATGAAGAGAGAAGAGCTGGAGCCGTGAGCACAGACTCTACTGAATATAGAGACATGAGTGTGATACAGCACATGTCCAGTGGGACGGAACATTCTGGGTTTTTATTTCTTATCTTTGAGTTTGGGAAATGATTCATGAGTTTTGCAAAATGATATTTTCCTGAGTTTATTTTTAAAGAAGTGTTCAGGATTCTGTAAGAGCTGTTTTGTTTTGTCAGTTTCAAAAGGAGAAGTGAGTCTAAGTTTGTGTTTTGTGTTTGTGTTTGGCCTGACCCTGGTTTATTTCCTGGTTATTTGTCTTCATTAGATGTATGGATTTGTTTCCATGTTCCTCAGAGTCATGGGATGTGTCTCTTTTCTTGTTTCTCTCAGAGTTTCCTCGTGTGGCTCTTGTCATGTGTTGTTTCTGTGGAATTGACTTGTGGTTGTAAATGACAGTGTAGTTTTCTTTTGTTTTTTTTTCTGCTCTAAACTCCCACTGTTCCATATTTCATGTTGAATCATTTGTATTATTTATTTTTGCTTCAGACAGGACTTTTAATTGTACTTATCCTGGTCTCATATTTGCTCTTTGTGCTTGACCAGAGTCTTTATAAACCACATAGAAATAAAAGGGAGACTTCTGTCACTGTGTGTTACATTGAAGACGATTTTGTGTGGGTTCTCCTTTAGACCTGGTTTAGTCCTGATTTAGACCTGGTTTAGACCTGGTTTAGTGCTGGTTTTGTCCTGGGTTTAGTTGTGAACTTTAGACCTGCCTTAGACTGGTTTTAGGTTACATGCTGTTATTCCGACATGCCGCTATTTAGACAATGATGTCTAATTGTCGGAGAAGTGGCATGAACATTATTTTTCAAGCGTTCCACTACACTACACTAAGGCAAGAGTAGCACATGTGTTTGTTTGCATCCACACAGCACACGGATCGAAGTGAAGCTGCAGATTAGTGGCAGTGACTCTACTTCCTGTGGACTTTATCTCAAATTTTTTATGCTTTAAAAATCACATATTTGAAGTACTGCACCACATTTCACAAATAATAACAGTTTTGGCTTACTTCTAAACTAGAAGTGCAGAGATCTGATCTTTGAACACTTAAATGTCTCAAAGCGAGTTGTTATACTGTAGACAGGAAACAGCTGATGTGATTGCGCTCACGACTTTATATTCTGTGGTCTGCAGCCATGTCCCGCTGCTCTGTAAATACCAATCGATCAATCTGATGCATTCAGCACCATGGACAGCGAGAGCCATAAAATATGATGTGTTGTAATACCGGGATGTCTGAATGTAAGTATGTCATAATGAAGGAATGCCGGAATAGACTGTGGACCCCCTGGTTTGGTACAAATTTAGTTTAGAACTGACTTAGTCTTGGTTTAGTCCTGGTGTAGACCTGGACCACAATGAAGCACTGTCTAAAGCATTATTTTACACACTGTGTTTGTAAACAACTATATATATGACCCAGAGGTTTTGCAGGATTTGATGAAAAAAAAATATGCTGAAGAAAACTGAAAGAAAAGCAAATACACCAACATTACTTTTATAATGCATGTTTTCTTGATGTTGAATTAGACAAGACATTTCCATCTCACTGGATTTATACTGTATACAGGCCTATTCATACAGTCTGTGCTCTGCTCAGGACATTCTCCCTGTTTGACTCATGTATGAAATCCTTTGCTCTTAGATTTGAGGTGCTCACAAATTGTAGTTTCTACCGTTCTGTTTGAGTTTGTATATTGAAAGTGACAGAGTTTCGGCCAGTGTCCTTCAGCACATGAGAACAGACCTGTAGTAGTGAAAAAACAAGGTGAATTCACTGATCATGTGTGTTTGTGAATGAGAGCTGTGTCAAGTGTTCTGAGAAAGAGCCTGAGAACTGTGTGAACTGATGAAAAATGTTCCAAAGGATTTGACCTGTGGCCCTGTTCAGATCCATGTTTGAACCAAACATCAAACTAAACAAACTTTAAAAAACAATTGAAAACAACTGTAAATTCATGTGTCACTCACTCAGAGCCTGACAGAGTTTAACCAATGAGAGAAGTGGGCGGGGAATAGTGTCTGTGTTTGAACAGACAGCTGCATTACATATAGAATCTCCACAGGGAGCACATCTCCATACCATTTTGATCTCAGTATTGTCCAGACCAAGTTCATTCTACACTTCTATTTTCTAACATGTTTGGTTCTTTTGGCGTCTCCTTTACATTTGGATTTGAAAGTCTCTTTATGGAGGCACTTGACAAAACTCCATGAGATGAACCATGTGAGCAGTGGGCGGGGCTAAATACTGTGATGTCATTCTGTAGGACTCTGGACTGAGCATGGATCAGAGAGATCACAGAGAGGACGCAGACCCTCCCACCACCAGCAGGGCGGCGCTGGGAAGTGAACGCTCTATTGGACGACACATTGACTTTAAAAAGGAGCCTGGTCTACAGTAAGTCTGAGCCAATGATCAGATGTGACTGTTGTGTGTGTTTACATGAACTAAAGAAATGTGATGACCAAAAACACCAGGTGTACATGTGTCGCTTCAGTGTAGGACGTCTTGTTTTTCTGAAAGAAATCAAATTACAATTAGATTTTAAGTGTGAATTTAAACACAGACACTGAATGATTTTAAGAGTGGCTTTGTTTAACAAACATCCATTATATTCAGTGCCTCTACCTGGAACATGAAAACGTTTGAGGTTTAAAATTAAATAAATAATTAAAAATTAAAAAAATTTAAAAGATCCATCCATCCATTTTCTTCCGCTTATCCGGGGCCGGGTCGCGGGGGCAGCAGTCTAAGCAGGGACTCCCAGACTTCCTTCACCACAGACATGTCCTCCAGCTCCTCCGGGGTGACCCCAAGTCATTCCCAGTCCAGCCCAGAGACATAGTCCCTCCAGCGTGTCTTGGTGGGTCTTCCGGGGGCCTCCTCCCAGTGGGACATGCCCATAAAACCTCCCGAGGGAGACGTCCAGGAGGCATCCGGATATATTAAAAAGATGTTAAGTATTTTATTTTTAGTGTAATGAAACTAACATTTTCTAGAATTTCCTGAAGTATCTGACCTGAGTCAGAACAGTCCCATGTGTTTTACTGTGACTGAAGTGTTTTTTCTTCTGTGTCTCAGGATCCACCAGAAACATCCTCCATCTGAACCTGGTCCCAGCTGTGAGTCCCTCAGGAGTGACTGGTCTATGTCACATCCCATTGTTTTTGCCACAGAGCCGTGAGTTTCCACAAGTGTTGAATAAAACAATAGAACTGAAATGAGAGTTTAATGTGTCTCTTTCACAGAGTGGAGCAGACGGGTCCAGAGGTCTCCAGTGGTCAGCACCATCACACACAGCTGGACTCCGTATTTAAGGTCTGTCATTCACTAAAGTTTGGAAATGTTCAGATGAATGAGAACTTGTTTGACACAGATCTGACACTGACTGCATTTGTGTTGTTTATAATGTGTCTGTTCAGCTTCTGGAGGAGGACATCTTCACTTTTGTCCAGAAGGAGCTGAAGAAGCTCCACAAGGTTCTGAGTACAGATTACCCAGAATGCTTAGAGCCTGTGGAGGATGAGGATGAAGAGCAGAGGAGCAGCAGTGAGGCTGTTCTGAAGATCACACTGAACTTCCTGAGGAGGATGAAGCAGAAGGAGCTGGCTGAGCGTCTGTGGAGCAGTAGGACCATTTAACACATTTAACAAGATGCTCACAGTCATTTTATCTTCTCTGAGACTCAGGCCTGTATCTGTTGTCTTCATTCAGGGAGTTATTCTGGAGTTTGTCAGTGTAAACTGAAGTCTAACCTGCAGCAGAAGTTTGAGCGTGTGTTTGAGGGCATCGCTAAAGCAGGAAACCCCACCCTTCTGAATGAGATCTACACAGAGCTCTACATCACAGAGGGAGGGTCTTCAGAGGTCAACCAGGAACATGAGGTCAGACACATGGAAACAGCCTCCAGAAAACCAGGCCCAGCAGAGACACCCATCACATGTGAAGACATGTTTAAAGGCCCAGCTCACACACATGGACCAATCAGAACAGTGCTGACAAAGGGAGTGGCTGGCATCGGGAAAACAGTGCTCACTCAGAAGTTCACTCTGGACTGGGCTGAAGGCAAAGCCAACCAGGACATACAGCTGCTGTTCCCGTTCACTTTCAGAGCACTCAATGTGCTGAAGGAGAGAAGCTTCAGCTTGGTGACACTTGTTCATCACTTCTTTAGTCAAACACAAGCAGAACTCTGCAGCTTTGAAGACCTCCAGGTGCTCTTCATCTTGGACGGTCTGGACGAGTGCAGACTTCCTCTGGACTTCACCAAAACCAAGGCCCTGACCGACCCCACAGAGTCCGCCTCAGTGCACGTGCTGCTGGTGAACCTCATCAGGGGGAGCCTGCTTCCCTCCGCTCGCCTCTGGATAACCACACGACCCGCGGCAGCCAATCAGATCCCTGCTGAGTGTGTCTCCATGGTGACAGAGGTCAGAGGGTTCACCGACCCACAGAAGGAGCAGTTCTTCAGAAAGAGGTTCAGAGACGAGACTGACACAATCATCTCCCACATCAAGACGTCCAGAAGCCTCCACATCATGTGCTACATGCCGATCTTCTGCTGGATCACTGCCACAGTCCTGGAGCATGTGTTGAAAAGCAGAGAGAGAGGAGAGCTGCCCAAGACCCTGACTCAGATGTACATCCACTTCCTGGTGGTTCAGGCCAAAGTCAAGAACATCAAGTATCACCAGGAGTCAGGGTCTGAAATTCATTGGAGTCTGGAGACCAGGAAGATGGTGGAGTTTCTGGGAAAACTGGCCTTTGAGCAGCTGCAGAAAGGAAACCTGATCTTCTATGAGAGTGACCTGAGAGAGTGTGGGCTGGACGCTGCAGCGGCCTCAGTGTACTCCGGAGTGTTCACACAGGTCTTTAGAGAGGAGACAGGCCTGTACCAGGACAAGGTCTACTGCTTCATCCATCTGAGTGTTCAGGAGTTTCTGGCTGCTCTTCACGTCCATCTGACCTTCATCAACACTGGGATCAACCTGCTCTCAGAGAAAACACAGAAGTCTAAAATTTTCAGTGCAAAAAGAAAACTAAAGCATCTTCATGAGACAGCTGTGGACCAGGCCTTACAGAGTCCAACTGGACACCTGGACCTGCTCCTCCGCTTCCTCCTGGGATTTTCACTGTCGACCAACCAGAGCCTTCTACAAGGTCTGCTGACACAGACAGGAAGTAGCTCCCAGACCAATCAGAAAACAGCTGAGTACATCAAGAAGAAGCTGAGTGAGGATGTGTCTGCAGAGAGGAGCATCAACCTGCTCCACTGTCTGAATGAACTGAATGATCGTTCTCTGGTGGAGCAGATCCAACAGTACCTGAGTTCAGGACGTCTGTCTGAAGGTGGACTGTCTCCTGCTCAGTGGTCAGCTCTGACCTTCATCTTACTGTCATCAGAAGAAGATCTGGAGCAGTTTGATCTGAAGAAATACTCTGCTTCAGAGGAGGCTCTCCTGAGGCTGCTGCCAGTTGTCAAGGCCTCCAACAAAGCTCTGTGAGTAACATTTGTTTAACAGAGGATGGTTTGATTCAACTTCAGCATAAACAATGTTTTCTCTCTCCAGACTGAGCAGCTGTAACCTGTCAGAGAGAAGCTGTGAAGCTCTGTCCTCAGTCCTCAGCTCCCAGTCCTCTAGTCTGACAGTCCTGGACCTCAGTCATAATGACTTGAAGGACTCAGGGCTGCGATGTTGTCTGTTGGACTGAAGAGTCCTCACTGTAAACTGGAACAGCTCAGGTCAGAGGGCTTCATATTATTCATTATTATTACATAACCTGTTTGTATTGGAATTGGATAATTACAAGTGATAAAAGCAACTTAATTATGTGGGACATGTTATTTGTCTCTTTTGCGTTGAATGTTACTAATGAATGGACATATTATAATAATCTGTGTCCTCAGACTGTCAGGTTGTCTGGTCTCAGAGGAAGGCTGTGCTTCTCTGGCCTCAGCTCTGAGGTCCAACCCCTCCCATCTGACAGAACTAGACTTGAGCTTCAACCATCCAGGAGACACAGGAGTAAAGCTCCTGTCTGCTCTACAGGAGGACCCCCACTGCACACTGGACACTCTCAGGTATGGAACACTTTACTGTGGACAGAAAGAAACTCATCATTCACCAAACATGTAAACAGGATTTTTACTGCCAAAACTCAAATTAGACTCAAAATTCCCATGGAATGACCCCATATGTATTCTATGGCCAAATGAAACTCTCTCCATGGGTTTGATGGTGTGGAACATTATTTTTGTTACAGCAGGTGATCCACTGGAGACACAGAGCTCATCCTGGGTTTCATTTGAAGCTGATTTTTTTATTTTTTTATCTTTTTATTTATTTATTTATTTATTTATTTTTTACATGTGATTCCATGCTAATGTGTCACAATCAATTAGGTTTACACAATTCTGTTTAACCTTACAGGGGTTAAACAAAAGTGTACAAACCCCTGAAAGGTTAAATTGTTATGTGCCGCATCATGTCAGGACTCTATGTTTCAAATCTCTTGACTCTGTAAACACTGTATGTGACTACAGCAGCACCTTTTTTTTTGTGATCAAATTTTTATTGAAGTGTTATTTGCAGTTATACATAATCTAGTTAGCATTGCATTTTTCTCCCTTTGTCGTTTAGCAAAAGAAACCTCTGAGTGCAAGGTATAGTTATTCCAATTACTTTAGACCAGGGGTCTCAAACTCAAATTACCTGGGAGCCACATTAGATAAAGTCTGAGTGAGGCTTGGCCGCATTGAGTATTCGATAAATAGCAGTTGCACAGGAAATGAAGAGAGAGAAAGAACAACACGCAACACACTTTCTTAATCTTTAATAACAATTCAGAACATGAAAATGTATTCAGAACGTAAGTTTAAACTAATACGTCTACTCTTCTTCTTTTGCCTACTTCTTGCTGGTTGAAACCTGGCTACACTTCATCTTCCACAGCTGAGAGATACTTGGCTTGCAGGAGGAAGCATATGAGATCCTCAGGATAGATTGAAGATGCTCATCATTGAGCCTTGACCTGTAGTTTGATGGTGCTTTCACACACTTTCACACTGGCGTGAACGCGAACCCGGGTCCCAACCATAGGCAGCAGGTCCAAACGAACTATTCGAAATGCATCATGGAAGAAACGCGTCTCCTCTGCCTGTAATGACTGTATGATTCCAGCGCAGTAACAGATTGTTGTCCAGATGCAGCCGCGATTCATTTTCGAATTATTTGACCAACAATGGCCAATACAGAGAATGTAACACACGAAGATCAGAGCAAGTACGTGCGAACAAGTGGCTCCAGAGTGAGTCAAAGTTGGGGGTGTGTACTTCTGTTCAGGACCTGCACGCACAGAGAGGTCCCGGTGTTCCCCGTGATCATGTAGGAACCAGCATTTTTTTATTTTAGGCTTTAATTAACCAAATAATTTCATTGCAATAGGCAATCGCCCATTTAATTGATTCACCTTTAAAAAATATCCTGCTTTTAACCTAGTGTGAGAAATACAGTCAGACTAGATCCAAACCAGAGTCCCAAAGATGCAGCTCTGGTTCAGGCCGGGCTCAGATGACGTGGAGCGGGGAGTGAAAAGCGCTTTACCCGGGAAGAACCAAATGCGCGGAGGACAGACACCAACTAAACTGGACTCATGCTTCTGTCCGGATGCTTTGCACCACCTCGGAACCAGCCGCAGTTCTTGAGTGCGGTGGACCGGAGCAGCCCGCACAGACCTGTAGGTAGTCAACAGCGCATTCTCACTTTCCCCGCACGGAACCAGCGCGCAGACGACGGAACGTACCCGCTCAGACCCAGTCATTGACCAAGGACCAGACTCCAGCGCCGTCCTGAGGAGCTGTGTGCTACGGTGAACGCTGTTGGCTGCTGCTGTTACTCGAACTCTGGGCTGATGCGGTGAGTTTGTACAAAGTTCTACGTTGCTGTTTTATGAGTTCATGGTGATAAGATGAGAACAGCCCGCGGTATTAACACTGAACATCAGTATTGGTTACTGGAGATATCGCTGTTCTACCGGGATACAGAGGCTCGTTAATTGGACCAGTTTATGGTTCGTTTGAAAGCGGACCACACTGGAGTGTATCTGCTTCTCGTATGTCAAACATGGATGGAAGACGCTTGTTTTTGCCTCATACTTTTTGCTAACATGTCGCCAAGCCTCTGGAATAGATCAGTGCAGTTTTGTGGTGCTTGCATACTGATGGGACGGCTGTTTTTGCCGCTGAGTGTGCGTGGATTTCAGCGACACATATGTGGAGTTTGGTCATCAGATTGCCAGCAAGTTACGCACCGAGTGTTGAGCAGGTAAACAGACTGTAAAAGTCTTTTTATTTCTTATTAGCCCCTCCAATAATGGTCCCATACTTATGAACAGGGGAATTCTGTCAGCGCCTCCTCTGTGCTCTGATACTGTGGTTGTGGGAGCGTAAAGTGAAGTGCGCACACATGTACCACCGTGTGTGGTTTGTTTTGGTTCTTCGGTGATGCCGTATGTGCACGTGTATGTGCACGTGTACTCCTATTAACAGATCCACTTAGACTTGTTGCTTCACAACTGCTGTAAATTGAGTTTTGGGATGCAAGCTGCGTTAATAATCTGTTGTTGTGAATCTGCATGGGCACCGATTGCAGCTTCATCTGTCAGTGCGGCCCGCGGTAGGGGGGTGGGATTGTGCGTACATCTACGTGGGCCACACTGACATTATTCTTTGGAATTAAGTGGAGGGCCACAAAAAATCCTTCTGAGGGCTGCAGTTGGCCCCCGGGCTGCGAGTCTGAGACCCCTGCTTTAGACATTGTCTTTGAGAGTTTTCCCAAAATTGTGCCACCTCAGGGCACTCCCATATTATTTGTCCAAAAGGGCCAACAGTTTTTTCTATGTAAATGGATTGTCTTTAATTTTCATTTGGTGTAATTTTCTAGGGTATAAATAAGCGCTATGAATGATTTTGTAATGAATCATCTGGTGATTGGGATTCCTTGATGAAAGCAAAATATTGGACCAAATCTGATTCCAATCCCACTCCAAGTGATCCCTCAATTCAGTTTTCCAAAGCTGCTCACCGGTACAATTTTTTTGTGTGCACTCAATTAGTTTATATAATTCAGAAATCGTACCAGAGCTTCCTTCTTTGTTCAAAATAGAATGAAGAGGGTGATTTTTTTTGCATGCATCCCCAAGGAACACTATGGGACTGCAATGCTGTGCGCAGCTGAAGGTAAAAGAAAAACAAAATACCTGGTAGATTAAAGCATTTTTGTAAATCACGGAACTCTCTTAATCCTTTCTGGCCTATGATGTCACTGAAGTTAGTTACCCCTTTGTGCTCCCATGGTGAGAAAGAGATGGGTTTCTTGTCAGTTAGCAGAGAATAATTATGGAAGATTGGTGTCTGAAGGAAATATTGGTTAGCTATCCCCATAAGATTGTTAACTTTGTTCCATACAGGTATAAGATGTGTAACAATAGATCCAGAATGGCCTTTAATGGTTTTGTGTGGCAATTTAGAGTATAAGAGCGTGGGCATAGTGTAAGGTTTTATTATCTGCTCTTCAATTAGTATCCATGCTGCAGATTTTCAACTACAGCAGCACTTTTAACAGACTCATCTCATGTCACACAAGAGAAAAGGCTTTTGGGTCCTGAGACTAAACGAGGCCAAGTTGAAACAAAAGACCCTTAACTCGTAAAATCCTGTGGTGTGACATGAAAATCATTTTAAGAAAAAGGAGCAAAAGAATCTTGGTGGAGGGCTCTGGCTCCAGGACTATAGGTCAAAGGTCACTGATGTAAAGATTCCCACAACAACTCCACACACCTTCACTAGAATCATTCGGTTGATTTCAGACCTGGAATTTCCAATCTCTGCTGAACATATAAAAGGTAAATGCTAAATTGAAAATAACCTCATTCATTTTGTCTTCTTATATACTTTAATTTCTTGGGTTCTTTTTAAAGACAATACAGTAAAGTGTATTTACCTTGCTGACATGTTTCTGCTGCTGCATCTTCAGAACTGTCACCGGTGTTGGTGGTGACGTGTCGTAGCTCAGCTGTTGTTACTTCCTGTGGGCGTGGTCAGCCTGATGGACCTGGCAGGTTGCTTAGACTGACCACGCCTCCCCTCGCCCGGTGTTTTCTGGAGGGTGTCCCAGGTGTGTGAAAGGAGGAATGCTCCGTCATCACTGTTAATGCTGTCCATGCCTCGTTTTCTGATTTCACTGGTCTCCTTGATCCTTTCTTTTATATATCAGAGCACTGTAAAAGAAACAACCACATTCTGGATTGGGACGGGGCTCGGGTCATTGGATCGGAAAACAAGTTTAAACGCTGGATCGAGGAAATCAGAAAACGAGGCATGGACAGCATTAACCGTGATGACGGAGCGTTCCTCCTTTCACACACTTGGGACACCCTCCTCCAGAGACACCGGGCGATGGGAGGCGTGGTCAGTCTGAGCGACCTGCAGGTCCATCAGGTCTGACCACGCCTACAGGAAGTAACAGCTGATATACGACACGTCACCACCAACACCGGTGACACTTCTGAAGATGGCTCGCAGCTAGCAGCCGAAACATGTCAACAAGGTAAATACACTTCACTGCATTATCTTTAAAAAGAACCCAAGAAGTTATTGAAAATAACTTCTTCATTACATTAGAAAGTGGAACAGAGCATTTTGAGCTTTGGAGATGGAAAAAGACTATTAATAATGTTAGTATGAGTCAAACATGTGTGAATTAAACAGAAAACAAATCAGGTCTGTTTTTGAGGAGGAGGTAACAGTATTAGAACATGGCCAAAAGTTCACAAGTCCATTTAGTGTCATATAGAAGCTTTAAAGAGTGTAGGGTTGGTCATTAGAGTCTGAGCAGAGGTATGACCTTTGACCTGAGTCTATAAAGTGAAACAGTGAAAGACAATAGAAAGCACCAGTGAACATGGAGAATGGAAAAGGCTTCATTAGAAGGTGACATACATGTGTCTGATTCAGATCATTGCTTTAGTTTGTTTAAAACATCACATATTGTATGTCTTTCTATGCTTTTATTTTGATAAGTGGTGATAAAAACATTAAAACAAACCTGTTTTAAAAATGTGATTTTAAAACGAATCAGTGTTTCAGACTGATGTCATGTGTTTCAGACTGGAGCCTGCTGGAGCTGAGTGGTTAACACCAGGACTCAGAAAGTGTAAGTGTTGAGTTAAATCCATTTGAAACAGACATATAGACAGACAATAGACACAATGCATGATGATCCTTAGCACCTCAGAGGAGAGCAATGTGGCGCAGATCGCAGGTTGCTGTTCAAGGAAACACTCCAACATGTCAAATGCGCTGTTCCATCTGGTGGGTACGTCCGTCATTAGTTTGTGCTCCAGTAAGATCAGAAGCTTTTGCTTTTCCTGGAGGACGTGGCTGGCGAGTGAACTTTTCCTGAAGAAAGAAACAATCTGGTGAATCCTTCCCAATAGCTTGGAAACTGCAGTGGTCTTGAGGGCACGTTGAGCGGCAATATTTAGCGTATGAGCAGTAACTTCGCAAGCTCTGCTGCAACTGCCATGTTTGCGGCGTTGTCCTTGACTAATACTGGGTCTTTGTCTTTGATCGCTCGCTCCTCAAAGACCTCCATCAGTAACTCTACCAGATTTTACCCGGTGTGGCTGCCAGACATATCTCTGGTTTGGAGTACATGTGAAACCATTTCCCATTTTGAAGTAATGTGGTGGCATGTTAGCGTTACGTAGGGCTGTGTTGCTCTCGACGTCCACCCGTCACATGTAATGGCTATTCTGCTTGCTTCTGAAATGGAATTGATTACATGCTGTTTCACTTCAGCATATAAACAAGGCACAGCGGTTTCTGTTATGAAGCGACTAGTAGGTATGGAAAAGCGCAGCTCATATTCCTCAATTAGTTCTCAGAAGCCCTCGTTTTCCACTGAGCTATAGGGTCATAAGTCTTTGCAAATTTAAGACAAAAATGCTGTAGTCATTTTTTGTGCCTCTGGTGATGTTGATGGGAATTTTGCCTTGAACCCCTCAGTCAGACTTGACTGTTTTCCTGTTGTGATACCACTAGCATTCCCTACTAGCGGTATGGCAGGGTGATGTCTGGTCATGTGGATGCACAGATTTGTTGTGTTGCCGAAGTACTTCACCTTCGTTTTGCAGTGTTTGCACACTGTGTGTGTCATGTCAAGTTCAGTCTTTTCCGGTAGTTTGTAAAATCCGTAGTGCTGCCATTTTTGAGCCTTGAGCTTGCTTGTTGTGTGTTCTTCTGTTGCAGCGCTTCTGCTTTTACCGGCAGCGCTGTGTGTGGTCAAAATGTGCATTGCACTGCTAGGAGCAGAACATAAAATATACCTACCTGCACCACTGAGGGATTATACAGCTATAAGAGTATATTGGAACATAAAAGAAAGTACTATGATTTAATGTTGAAAATCATGTTCTATTTCTTAAAGATGAAGTGTTTTTAATCATCATCAAAGCATCAGAATCAGGACTAAGTGTTAAGTCTTTTCCTTAGTATTGAAATCCAGTTAAAAGTTTCATATGGTTCCAACTCTAATCAGAAATAGTGGTGCTGGAGTAAAGGAGGAGTCCTGGAGCCACACTGACACAGACACAGCTGTTGGACTCAGCACAGGACTGTCTACACACAAGCACAAGTGACTGTGGATTCATATAGAGACATTTTAAAGGAGAAAGTCTGTGTCATGGAGCACAGACGAGTGTAGGAATGTGTGGAGTGACGTCAAAGACTGGAGCAGCACAAACTCCACACAACTCACATTTACACTGAAAATAATCTGAAATAGATGTGTGAGGCTCTGAAACTAAAGGAAATACAGGGCTGATGCAAAAGAAATATTAGACAAATATAACACTGCAGTGATTAAGAAATTAAATAATCGTACATACAAAGCAAAAATACTTGAATCATCAATAAGTGAAAGCCTTTAAATCCATCTTTCATGAAAACATTTGTCCATATTAAACTCTAATGAAATGTGTGTCTCCACATGGGACTAACTGCTGCTGTGTTGTGTTTTCTCTCCATCAGATTTCTGTGATCTCACTCTGGATCCAAACACAGCTCACAGAAACCTCAAACTGTCTGACAAGAAGGTGACATATGTGACAGAGGAGCAGCCGTATCCAGATCATCAGGACAGATTTTACATCTTGCCTCAGATTCTATGTTCCACTGGTCTGACTGGTCACTGTTACTGGGAGGTCCAGTGGAGTGGAAGGGTCTGGGTATCAGTGTCTTACAGAAGAATCACAAGTACAGGACCAATTTTTGAGACTATGTTTGGAATGAATGATTACTCCTGGAGTCTGTTCTGTTCTGAAGCTGGTTTCTCTGTTCAGCATGATGACAAATCCACTCCCCTCCCTCAGCGCTGGTCCTCCTCTTCTGGGAGAGTAGCAGTGTTTGTGGACTGTCCTGCTGGTTCTCTGTCCTTCTACACAGTTTCCTCTGACCAACTGACCCACCTCCACACCTTCAACACCACATTCACTGAGCCTCTGCTCCCTGGGTTTATGCTCTCTCCTGACTCCTCAGTGTCTCTGTGTTCTCCTTTGGATTAAGAGAATCTTCACTTTTCACGTCTCTAAATCAAATCATCCATAGAGTCATTCATATATATATATATTTTTTTTTTCCACTCTCACTTAGTTGATACTAGGCCTCAGTTTGATCTCAGGTGGATCATGAGCTACATTCACTCATTTGTTCCATCAGATTTTATTTGTAAGAATCATTTTATAACCTCACCTTTTTCCTTTGAGAAAAGCTTCTGCCAACCAGCTGTGCCCCAGAAGACCAGTGGATACAACTACAGAGGCTATGACAGGAAAGTTCTAAGTGGAGAGAAAAAAACCTGCACCCGCCATTCCGTACGATCAGGAATTTAGCCAAGTGCACGTCTGAAAAAAGGAAAGCCATATATGGACATAGCCTGGAGGGACTATGTTTTGGGACATAAGAGCAGAAGGACAAAGGGACCAGGGGACTCTCTTTTCTTTTGGGGTCTTTCTCTGGGCTTTTAGTGGGAGGGACATTTTGGGGTCTTTGTTTGGTCTTTGTCCAGTCGGCTTCATCCTCTTAGTTTCTTAGGTTATATACTTTTCTGTATTTCCTGGGAAATTGTTTTATTGTTTGTCAAACTTGGACCATCAATAAATGCATTCTCATTGTGCATTAGAACTGCCTCCAGTGGATTCTTTTTTATGTCTCAAAGTGATTTCAGTCAAGTTGAACAGAAAACAAACCAAGAATATAGAGGCTTTGCACCGTCACGTGTCCCCCATGGCAACAGTAACTACGCCGCCATGACACCGGGCACGCTATGCCATTGACTTCAGCAGCATCGGAGAAACATGGGCAGGTTTTGTTGTGTATTTGGTTGTTCTAGACGCTCTGAAAAGGATAAAACGATTCGTTTCTTCACTGTTCCTCTGGAAATTACTCATGAGGGAGCTCAAACAAGGGAATTATCGAAAAAAAGATGCGGATTATGGCTAGAGAACATAAACCGTGAAGAGATTTCCTATGGTACCATCAAGACACACTCACATCACTTTCATCATTCATTCATTTAAATTGTTTCATAGCTTATTTAATGAGAGAAGCACATTTACTGAACTAAAATGTAAAAAGAAAACATTTGCAGTGTGAGTGGCAGTAGAAACTGGATCTTCCAGCGCACATATAAACATGTCACTCGTCGTAGGACCCATGTTTTCTTTATTGTCTTGCTTATCCACAATTGTGTCTTCTAGAATTAATCTCTTTTTGTGAGCGGATCTTTCTAATGTTCGCGAGGATCTTTTCATGGCCGATTCTTTCGAGGTTCGACTCACAGACTCTTCGACTCGTGCGCCATGTTGATCAGAGGAGCCCAATGTGGGTTTTATAAATCGTAAACTAGTGCGGGTTTTCCTGGATAAATTAATGACATTTTTGTTTAGTAAATGTGCTTCTTTCATTAAATAACCTATGAAACAATTTAAATAGCAAATACCTTGATGAAACTTTCGGGTGTCTTGATGGTATCATTGGAAATCTCTTCGTGGTTTATGTTCTCTAACCATAATCCACGTCTTTTTTTCGATAATTCCCTTGTTTGAGCTCCTGATGAGTCATTTCCAGAGGAATAGTGAAGAAACGATTTGTTTTACCCTTTTCAGAGCGTCTAGAACAACCAAATACACAACAAAACCTGCCCGTGTTTCTCCGATGCTGCTGAAGTCAATGGCATAGTGTGCCCGGTGTCATGGCGGCGTAAGTACCGTTGCCATGAGGGACACGTGACGGTGCAAAGCCTCTATTAGTGGCTCCACAAACAACCCAACAGCCACATGCCCAGAGTGAGGAGTGGTTTCCATCAGAAGCACACGAGGAGATTTGATCAGTCTTTATAATAAGACACACCTACAAATCATTTGGAAATGTTTATTCACCAGCTACATGTATTTTATTGTAGTTTAAAGCAGGGGTCCCCAGCCCCCAGGCCGGGAACGGTACCGGGCCATGGGTTATTTGGTACTGGACTATGAAAGCATGTACCTTCTAGGGACATGGTAAAAGAACAAGAACCAGAAGGCCACCCTTCATCCATGTTCTGAATAACACGCTGCAGTTCTGTGCCCTGTGTTGTATCAGTTATTTGTTGTGATTTTGTGTCAGATACAGGCAGTGCATTTGACACAAAGGTAACGTGGCTTGCAATGTCCTCATCTCTGGTACTCACACTGCTTTCTGTAGGTGCTCTGGACGGGACGTCTGCGGGTACCAGGTGTTTTCCAGGTGTACAGATCAGTTCAAAATAATATTTTGCATTTTCATTATTAGGCACTGGATCCACGGTGACATTTCATTTAGATTTTTCTTAATGGCGGTGATCTGTTTCCACTGTGAAAGATGGTAGTCCATAAATGTAACTGTGAAACTGTTTCAGTCCATAGGCCAGACCCAAACACTCCGCTTCAATCTGAGTGTACTTGCACTCAGTTTTTGGCATGGCCCCTGATGCATAGACTGGTTTCCAGCGTTGATCCTCAGTTTGTAAAAGTACTGCTCCAATAACATCTTTGGACACATCAGTTGAATCAGGCACTGGCTGTGTCTCTTCTTTTAGCTGTATTTTATATGTAAAGGGCAGTGTACCAAACCCTTTGAAAACATCTGAAAACTGCTGTACTATTGAGTCAGTATCAGATTTAACATTTCTCAATACAGTACTGTAGCATCCAGTTGAATTGGCTGTTGCTATCTTTAGGGTTTTTTTGTTTTGTTTTTTTAATATAGAATTTTACCATATACTAAGCAAACATTTTTTTCCTTCACTTCTGCTCACACAGGAAGTCACCAAAATAAAATCGTAACCTTGCTATTAAATGCCATGGACTGTATGTTAATGTATATAAGAGTTAACTTGAGCTTTTTGACTCTTTTGACCAGCCCTAACTCTTCACAGGATATATGACCCAGTAATGACTCATTTTGCTTTTTTTTTTTTCACATTTTTCAATCACAACAGAAACGTTTACATAGTGCACTTTACCTTTTACAGTTATCTTCAGTCTGCAAGTGAAACACCGAAATAATCTATTGGCTGTCTATTGTGATCTTTCAGACCTGCCCTGTTTTTGTATATTTGTGGCTTTATCTGCATCTCTCTAATGTCAGATATGCTAATAAGCTTAGCTTTTGCACCAGTGTCCAGTCTCATAGTGACAATTGTCCCATTTTCTTACACAGGAGCGAACCATTTGTCCTCATTGGTAACACGGTTAACCCTTTTCTGATCATTTCCACAGTTCAGGAGGCCAACAAAGAACGTGTCACTTAAATCTGTGCCAGGACTTTCATCCATGATATTCACATTTCTGCCTTTCTTTCCCTCTTTCTTTCTGGAGAAACATTGTTTGGCAAAATGATTCCTCCCATGGCAGTTGAAGCATACTTTACCAAAAGTTAAGTATTGCTTTGGCTTGTGCTGTGTTGCGCAACACTTGCAGAAGAACGCGCTGTCCTTGGTCAGGCTGGGTCTGCTGTTGGTGACGTCCCCTCTGAAACGACACCGCACCGACTGCCGCTCTGTTGATCATAGGTGCTGTTGTGGAGATCACACTGACCGTTTTATTGTGCTTGTGTGACAGTTCGTTCGCTCGGCATTTCTTTATGGCTGCTTCTAGGGTCAAATCCGTTTCACAAAGCCTCTTTCTTAACCTTTTGTCTTCAATGCCAGAAACAATTTGGTCTCTGACCAGCAAGTCTGTCAATGTCCCAAAGCCACAGGACTGCACCTTTAAATGCAGCGCGGTCAGAAAACAGTCGAATGGCTCATCCTGCACACAAGATTTAAACGTATATTTCTTATGTCTCGTTTTTTTTTTTTTTTTTTTGGAGTGCAGTGTTTTTGCTGAACAATGAGGCTTGTTTTAAAATCAATGATCCTTTTTAATGTGACGTTATAACAGTGAACTCACATGTACAAGTACCACTACTGCTTCTGTTACGGCACATGACAAATAACAGTGTGGCGCCCCCATGTGGCACACGCCATTATAACTACTGACCATAACACATGATGATAACTTGAGATGAGGACGACCCGCGGTGCTAACGAGGGAGCATCAGAACCTTTCCAATCAGAGGTACCAGATCATGGAAATAAACAGTGTAAAAGCGCCTAAACCAAAATACTGCCAAATGGTAAACCGATCTGTGGCACAAAAAAAGGTCGTCGACCACTGGTCTACAGAATATTCCATCCCTCCTTGGTCAAATCCACTGTACATTATTGTCACTGATGATATCTGTAGAACATGGGAACACAAAGTGAAAGACTTTTTGACCATTTTTCATTGTTAATTTTGTAAATGAACTCTTCAAATGTTAAACAATAATTTACAATAGAAAAATGTTATTACGCATTTATAAAACATTCATAAAAGTTTAATTAGAAATGTGATGGAAATGGATTACTTCCTCATCTACAAACACTTTACAAATGTTTATGAATCATAAATGACTCATGTACTAATAATTACAATTTTGACTAAATGATGAGTTAATGGTTCATAAACATTTGTAGTTCACGTTCAGTAATGTTGTGGGTGTCCAGTTTTCAATCAATAAAGGCTCTTTACTGGGTTTAGAATCAGACATATTGGTCAATTTTTGTTCTTAGATACAGTTCTTTAGTGCGTCCAACAAGGGCTTTCCAGGTGATTTTTTTTTTTTTTTTTTTTAAAGTTTGAACAGTTTCTCTTATTTGTGTTTTTGTTCTTAGCTGTTCACATTGCCATTTGAAACGGTCTAACTTGTTTGTTTGTTTGTTTTTTTCTGATTCAATGAAGGCCTCAGACACAACAGGTTGTATAGTTGGAGGCAGCAGCGAGCAGCAGGGCACAGAGCACAGGAAGCCCACACGAGACGTTCACTGTGTGTAGGAAAAGAGGCACGACCACAGCAGCACGTTTCCATTTAACCCTTGTAAGGTCTTCATTTTTCTGTTACACAGGGAGTCCTGCTGGGTCTGGTGGACCCATTGCACTTTGGGGCTTTTACATCATCATATTTAAACCCTTTTTTGTTTAAATTCTCAGCAGATGCTTAATTCATCTCATTTGGAAGTAGTATTAACAACTTATTGTTAAATTTGCTCCCTTTACCTTTGTTAAATTACATTTATGAATAAACAGGCCACTTGTTTTTGTTTTGCTCTCATAAGCTGGTCCTTGGACCAGCTGCTGGCAGACTGGTCCTATGGCTGAGGTCCACTTGTGTTTTGCTCCTGCTCCTGACTCTGTTGGCTGATCTTCACCCTCCTGTCCCCGTCCTCTTCAAACTCACTCTCTGACCCTGAATTTTCACAAATCTGATTTTCATTCTCAGAGACATGTTAATCAGCTGCACCATCAAAACCCTCTGTCTCTTCTAGAATCAGTTCCATCACAGTCTGAACTGAGAATTTCTTCACCATCATGATCAGTTGTGATTGAGATTCTCACTGACAGAGATGTTTATGGGGACCCCGAGATTCATTCATTTATTCATTCAGACAGAGGGTGAGATGTGGGTGCAGATAGTGTTGGGTGCACACACATCTCACACACACACACACAACACACAACACACAACACACAACACACACACACACACACACACACACACACACACACACACACACACACACA